CGGTCACGCCCCCCGCCCGCGATTGGCCGGCCCGCCGGCCGCCCCCGCCCCCGCTGCGGTGTATGAACGGGGCCCGGCGGTGGTCACGCCCCCTCGCGCCCCGACTTCGGCTGGGCTGCCCGCGCTTCCAGCCTCCCCTCGGTGGCAGCGGCGGCAAGTCCGGCGGCGGCGGGAGCGCCTGCCGGTGGACCGTCGAAAATGATCCTCTGCCCCCCGAGCGCGGAGCCCCCCCGCGGAAAGCCCTGCCAGAGGCTGCAGGTAAGGGAGCCGGAGCCCCAGCGGAGCCCCCGGGCGCCCCCTGCACCGGAGCCCCCGAGCGGCGCCCCCTCCTCCTCCCCTCCCGCCCCCCGGAGACCCCTCCGCGGCAGCCCTGCAGCGCCCGGAAGCCTCCGGCCGGGTCCGGGCAGAGGCGATCGGTGCCCGCATCACCCTCCCTCCATCTCTCCCTGCGGCAACGCTCGCCCCGATCCCGCCTCGTCCTGCCCGGGCGGCGTAGGCGGGGATGCCGGGGATGCCAGCCCGAACCGCCGCTGGACCGACCTGCCCCCCCCCCCTCCCAGCGCTGCCAATCAAACTTGTTTTTCTCCTTCTCCACTTGCGGTTCGGCGGCCGTGCCGCCAGGGGGCGCTGCGGCTCGCCGGCTGCCGCATCTGGGCCCGGCCGGGAGAGACAATGGACCGGGACCGCGAGTGGGGTTGGGGGCGGGGGGGAACGGGGACGAAGCGGTCCAGCTGTTGCAGCCGCCGCCGCCGCCGCTGCTCCGTGGGCAGGGGGCGTGTTCCTCCAGTTGTCCCTCTCCGGCTCGACGGGCGGAGGGTCGCTGCTTCCTGTTTTGGGGAGGGGGCGAGGAGCCTGGCTGTCCCTGGCAGCTTCGGCCAAAAGCTGCCCCTACTTGCCCCCCTCCCGGGCCTGGTCCCGCTTGGCCTCTGCCTCCCGGGCCCCCTGTCTTTGTTTGGCTCGTCCTGCCTTTGTCTGCTTGCCGTGCAGCGTCTGGGCGAGGGGGGCTGTTGGGGAATGCGTCTCTTGGGGGGGGTGGTGGTCAGCCCGCCCCCCCTCCGCCCCCCCTGGGCACCAGTGCCAGTTGCAGAGGTGGGTAGGAAGGAGAGCAGGGCCTGCCCTCCCATAGCCGCCTCTGGGTGCCCATCCTGCAAGGAGGAGTTTTCCACAAGTGGGGGCAGGGGGCTTGTAAATGGTGAAGCCCCCCCACCCCCCCATTCCTTGTCTCTTCAGGCTGGCACTGCCATGATGCCTCTGCTTTTGCTTGGGGAGGGGGCCTGGAAATGGGGCTTCCCCCTGCCTCCCCGCTCCTCCTCTGTTCACCGAGATGCCCAGGCCTGAGGCCTGCCAGGACCCTTGGCAGGTGGGGGGTGGGGGGGTGGGAGCTCCTCAGTTATGGGGAGGGGGGCTTCTTGGGGTTCCCCCTCCCCTTTTCCGAGACTGCTTTAATTCCAGCTCTGGGGTCTTCCTGGAAAGGCTTGCTTGGCCTGTGCCAGGCAGGGAAGAATCCCCCCACCATCTCCCCCTTGGGCCCTGGGATGGTCCCTGCATCTTTGGGCCCTCCCGGATGGATCCTGGAGGCTCTTGAGTAGGCCAGATTTGGGGGTTAGGCTGGGCACACGGAGGCGGATTGCTGCTCCCCCATAGGGGCTGTTTCCTTGGGCTGGGGGCTCTTGTGCCTGGCCCCTGCTAGAAAGGTGGGAGGGGCGGAGCCTAGAGGCCCCTTGCTTTCTTTGAGCTGCTCCCTCCTTCCAGGGGCCCCTTTGGCTCCCAGGAGCCCCCTTGGCTTCCTGGTGGGGGAAGAGGCTGGCCAAGGGAGAGAGAGAGAGAAGGGTCCTCCCCAACTGTCTCTGTGGGAAGGGGATTCAGCCGCAGATTTGGGAAAGGGCGACAGTGAAGGCCAGCCACATTTGCTCTGGATCCGCCTTGAGGGTGGGCTGGAAAGAAAAGTCCCTCTTTTGGGGGGTTCTTTTGCAGAGAGAGATTCACCTCTGCTGACAGAGGCTCACCTGAGATTCTGAAACTCAGGTGGGGGGGGGGCTGCATGTTTCCCACCAAAGCAGGCCTCCGAAATTAGTGCAACGCCTGATGTGTCCTGGCTGCAGGCCCTGCTTTCCCTTGGCTCCACATGGGACTCCCCCCCCCACACACACAAAATCCCCCTCCTGATATCCTGGCCAAAAATATACCTGGAGCAGAAAGGCCCCACCCTGGTCTGCCCAGCCAGGTGTTTCTTCCATGCCCTTGGGTGGCCTCTGGTGCTTTTGGTACTCCAGGAGGGGGGTACTGTGAATGGCTCTGCTTCTAGCCCTCCCCCACTGCATGGCCCCCTCCCCGACTGATTGCACCAGGCCCAGTTTGCCCCACGGTCTCTGCTTTCCCGCCCTTCCCCATCCAGCTGAGCAAGATGACCGCCAACGAGAAGAAGGAGAGGCCCCCGCAGCTGCTCTTCGTGAAGGCCTTGGCCAGCAGAGGCCGGATCGAGGCCATCGCCCAGCAGATGGGCTACCACCCGCACTACCTGGACAGCTTCCTCCGCCTGCAACATTACCTGCTCCACATGGATGGGCCGCTGCCCTTCGATTGCCGCCACTTCATCGCCATCATGGTGAGAGGGCGAGGAGGGGGGCCCCATCCCGGGCAGCGGCTGCTTTTGGCACTGCCAGAGCCTGCTCGGCTTACGGGGTGGCGAGGAGGAAGGTTGCCTGCTTGCCATTCCATCTGCTTGCTTCACTGTCCACCCCCTTCTTGACCCTCCCCTTGCCACTCAAAACGGAGCAAGGGCTGTGTGGGAGCTGCGGCTGCTTTGGGAAATGGTGTCCTCCATCCTTCTCAAGGGCAGAGACCGGCCCTTGGCTCCTGTAGGAGCCTGGAAGAGAACCTGCAGAGTCTCCTCTCTCCCCTCCAACCCCAAAAAAACAGAACGGGTGGGGTCTGATGGAGACTATGCCAGGCAAGGATGGGGAGGAGAGGGACTGATTCTCTGGGCTGGGGGCGCTGGGTGGGCTTCTGACTCTTGCGGAGGAAGGCCTCTGACTTGGGGGGTGGTGGTGTTCTTCCCTACTGATCTGAGCACCCTGCGTGTCTCTTGCAGGCGGCCGCCCGGCATCGGTGTCACTACTTGGTGAACCTCCATGTGCTGCAGTTCCTGCGGGTGGGCGGAGACCCCCTGTGGCTGAGGGGGCTGGACTGCATCCCCCCCAAACTCCGCCGGCTAAGTGAGATCAACAAGGTCTTGGCCCACCGCCCCTGGCTGGTTTGCAAGGAACACATTGAGGTAGACGGCAGGATTTGAGGAGGGGGCCACACTTGGGGCCCTGGGAAGGGGAAGGGGCAGCGTTTCCCCCCCGTGGCAGTTTGGATGCTGCCCCACCCCCCATAAATGTAGCTTACGGGTGGGAGGAGCACAGAGGGCACCCCTCTCCCACTCCATCGGTGACCCTCCCACGCCTCAAATCCTTCCATCCCAAATGGCTCCCTGGGGGATCGGCACACGCTTTCTCGATGCCTGAGCTGGTTCCCCCCACCCTCAAAGAAAAGTAAGGAGGGGGGACGCAATAAGGGGGTTTAGTGTTTCTGCCTGCTTGCTTACCTTCTACCCGAAGCCCCCAGGGTAGGGGTCCCCCCTACAGGAGCTCCTGGCATCCGTGGCCCATTGGGAAGTGCATTTGGGGGTCTTCCTGGGGTCGGTGGGGGTGGCTAAAGTTTCATTCCAGCCAGATTCTGGAAGCTGGCATTTCTTCCTGGCTTCTGATTGGTTGGTTCCCCCCTAGAAAGAGCCTTTCCGGCAGCTGGTGCTCCTGCTTGGGGGGGTTGCCTCTGGGGGCCACTTGTGCCTTGGAGCAAGCATGGTGGGGAGCGAGTGGCTTTGCGGGGAGTCACAGCTTGCTTCTTTTTGCCCCTCCCCTCCAGAAGCTGCTGAAGATCAGCGAGCAGAGCTGGTCGCTGGCAGAGCTGGTCCACGCCGTTGTGCTCCTCGCCCACTACCATGCCCTGGCCAGCTTTGCTTTTGGCTGCGGCTGCGAACAGGACCTCGGCCCAGAGGGACGAGGCTCCCTGAAGCTGGGACTACCGGGCAGCGTCTGCTTTTGTGACGTGGGGAACGGCTGCAGCCAGGAGATGCTGCATCTCAACCGCAAGCGGGTGCGTGCCTTCGGCTTCTCCGGGGGGGTGGAGGGGTGCGTGGACGCAGGGTGCCAGGCCCCAGTTGCAGGGCATGGGGGAGTGCCCTTTCTAGACCCAGAGGAAGGACCCGCTCAGTCGCGTTCCTCCCCCTCTGCAGTCCTTGGATTCCTGCATGGAGCTGGAGTCTCTTCGGGAGCGTGTCCACGGGTTGCAGGTGGGCAGTGAGGCCCGGGAAGAGCTGAGGCTGCCTGCCCAGCGGGAAGAAGGTAAGGCCGCCTGCCAGCCTCCCTGGAGGAGAGGCTGGGGAGGGCCTTGCCCGGAGCTTCCTGGTGGGGTTGGGGAGCCCACGGAGTCGTGGGGCCCTTGAGAGCAGCTGGGATGCCATCTCCCCTCCTGCTTGCATGCAGGCCTCCTTCCGGCCTCCGGAGAAGCCCCTTGGCTGAGTGGGTCTGTCTTCTAGGCTTCGACGGGGAGTTCTTGGGGGCCGCAGATCTTTCCTGCTACGTCTTGGATCCCAGCTTCGGCTACCAGGAGTTTGCCCAGTGCAACGAGGACCAGCCCCAGATCTTCCGTGTTCAGGTGGGACCAATGTGGCAGTACCCAGAATCTTGGCTGGCCACCTCCCTCCCTCCTTGCCTGGGGGGGGGGGGACAGGGGGGGGCGAGCTGCTGATCTTAGCCCCCTTCAGCATTCCCTCATCCAGCCACCCTCTTTCTGATCCGGGCAGGATTATTCCTGGGAAGACCACGGCTTCTCCTTGGTGAATCGCTTGTACTCCGATATCGGGCACCTGCTGGACGAAAAGTTCCGTAAGGTGGACGGTCTTCACAGCTGCTCAATGGCCAAGCGGCAGGGCTGCGAACAGGCCACCTTCAAGCGGGGCATCTGGAACTACGTCCACTGCCTGTTTGGCATCAGGTGCTCCTCCTCCCCTTCCTTCTGGGAGCCTCTTGCGGGGCCAAACCAGCGCAGCTGACCTGGGGAAGGAAGGTGGCTTTAGAGCAGGGGTGTCCGAACCTGGGAACTTTAAGACTTGTGGACTTCAACTCCCAGAATTCCCCAGCCAGCATAGCTTGGGAACTTTAAGACTTGTGGACTTCAACTCCCAGAATTCCCCAGCTAGCATAACTTGGGAACTTTAAGACTTGTGGACTTCNAAATTATGCATTGTTATGTTTCGTCTTTTTATTTTCTGCCTGTACCCCCCTTCCCTGATTTGAATTGTGAGCCGCCCTGAGTCCCCTTCGGGGAAAAGGGCAGCATATAAATGAAATCAAATCAAATCAAATCAAAGACTGGAGGAAATAAAAGCTAATTGTATGGACAAATGAAACTTTGGGGCTCAAGTCAGTCCAAGCAACCCTGATTGAAGGCTCTCCCATCTTGGATGCATCCAGCCCCCTGGCCCTGATGCTAATGCCAGAAGGGTCAGACCATGAGAAAGCCTGTGCCAGGGATGCACGAGATCCAAGGAACCAAGTGGATCCAGGCTGCTGCTTCGATGGGCAGCTTTAGAGTTCCTCTGAACGGTTGAGTTAGAAGGGCACAGCCGGAAGAGAGAGGTGCCCCTTCCCCCTCCCCAGCCTTTCTCTTCCTGGTGAGGGAGGAGGGTCAGCTGGTCAGTCAGGCCCAGAGCTGTTGATACTCCCCAGGAGAGGACAGCAGAAGCCTCCCTTCTGCAGTGGGAAAGCACGGCCATCGCTCAGGGGTGACCACGGCTCCTCTCCTTTCAGACAACCGGCAATTCCTGGCCAACATCAATTGCTCCGTTCTGCTTCTAACCCATTACCTGCGGGATAAGGTGGGCTTGCACAGGACAGGTGAGAAGGACCTGGGCTCTCCAGGGCTGAGGGAGGGGAAATGCCCCCATCATTGGGAGACCGGTAAGAAAGGGGGTCTGGAGGGAGCGTGGCTGGTGGTCAGGCTTGGTAGGCTACTGGACTGGAACGTGACTCGGCCACACCAGTTCAAACAACCCTTGAAGGAATCTCATGGGTGGGGATCGTCCCTCCTCTCCTGGGAGGACAATGGTCTCCACCACCAATTGGGAAGACACGGATTCTGGAAGGAAGGCCCGTAGCTTTTGGATAAGAGTGGTGGACCAAGAAGAAGACGGCTTCATACATCCAGCCTGCTCTGCCTCTGGAAGGTGGGAGCCCTTCTGCTCTACAGGAATGTCTCATCCTCCGTTGGCCGAGGGCTACCCAGCTCTCATCCATTCTGACCTAGGCTTCCCCAAACCACAAAGCAGACTCCATGTCCTGACAAAAAAACAACACCTTTTTTAATTAAGTTACCGTGAATTCCTCCCATTCACATCCAGCAAAGTCTTTCAAGGGAGGATTTACAGTCACAGGCCTTATCTGGCTTGGAGAGCTGCCAGGTCGACATGGCTTTTTGGGCCTGCTAGAACAATCGCGTTGAGGTGGGGATTCTGGTCAGATAAACATCTGAGCCCCATAGCCCGGTGGGGCCTCCACACACACAACCTCCTTCATTTGCTCGCGCAATTTGGGCAGCTAATGTTAAAAACAATGGAAGAAGAATGCATCAGTCATGAGAATAAATCAATAGAGACCCACAGAACGCCTGTAGCACAATCATCCACAGGTGAGAATTCATTGAGGTTTCTGGCCTGGTACTTCAGGCGCATCAATGTACTCCTGAATCCAACACGGGAATCGACCCGTAAACTAAGGTGTTGTAGAAAATGACAGGACACACAAGCCAGAGAAGGAAAGTTTATTTCCGCAGGTTTAGAAGAAATGGCCTGAACATTGAGTGAAATTTAGGAACTTCCTTATATAGTTTTATCGCTTTCAGTTAAAGCCATCTGTTAGTTTTGGAAACACCCCTCAAGATTTGCCCCGAGTTACAGAAAGTATGTCTATATGATGTCATAATACATGGGTCAGCTAACGGATATGCATAGCTCGTATTTTGAGGAACTAACAATAT